TTGAGACCTTGTGTGGGGAGGGACCTTTAAGCTTGCTGTCCAGATCCTCTCCTGATGCTCAGGTCTCCTCTTTGACAGTCCCTGCCAAGCTCTGCAGACTTCTGGCAGCGACAGCATCCTACCTAGTGCCTACCATTGGGCAGCAATTGGCTGAAGGTTCTTCCTCATTTTGAGGTGCTCAGGGGCCTCACCTGGGCCCACTTAACTTCTGGAATCTCCTCTCTCTATCTCCATCCAAATGGACCCTTTGGAGGCCTCTCCCCTCTGGCACCTGCCAGGGACAGCAGGGTCTTAGACAAGGGGGCCGTGGAGAGCAGAACTTCCCCCGCATTCCAGCTGGAGCCCCTGCCCTGAGGAGTGACTTGAAGGGGAGGTTCTGGGCTGTGTGGCTGTCCCGGGAAGTAAGTAGGTGAAGGTAAATCCTACAGAGGCCCTTGGGTCATCCACTTAGGTGCCAGCGTGGTTCATGACCTTCATCCGGGGAACTCAGCCTCCGTCCTGGCCCTCGTCCTATTAAACTGCCAGCACTGAAGGAATCTTAGAGACTATGGGCACTAACCTCTTCATTTCATAGAAGATGGAACTGAGGTCCAGGGTGGGCACAGGCTGGCAGCAAGTTAGTGATAGAGCATGGTCTGGGCCCTGCGTCTCATGTGCTTCCTGCTCCATCTGCTCTTCCCCCAAAGGTGCAGCCCCACTCCCCCCACCTGGGGCCCCCCGCGCCGCGGCCCCTGCGCCCTCCCTACCTGGAGTCCTGTGTACCGAGCTGCTGCACAGATGACACTCTCTCACCTCGCGGGAGGCTCCTGAAATGGAGGTGTCAGCACCCCAGGCAGGCCCACCCCCAGCTCGTCACTGTCACCGGCCACTGCTCACATCACTGCTGCTTCCTGCCCCGCCCCCCACACTGTGGCCACAGGCCCGTCGTGCTCCCCCTCCCACCNAATAGCCGCAGGCCCCAGACCACATGTGACCCCATGTCTCTTGGGTCACGTCTCCAGGCTCGTCACTTGAGTTTATGTCGCCTTGCGTCCCCGCTCTTACGGGAACAGTGGCTCATGCTGCCTTCTCGGAACCTGGCCATCTTTTCCCCTCAGTTGTCCCCTTCCTCTCCCAGAAATTGCAGCCTCCTGACCCCCTTCCAGCTCCTGTTGGTAGCCTGACCTGGATGCAAGGCTGTGAGGAGTTTAGTTCCTGACCATGCTGGGAAGGCCAGTGTGCGAAACATGGAAACTTGCAAAAAATCTGTAGGAGAAGAGAGGCGAGGCTGTAACAGGTTCTAGTCCCAGCTTCACCAGAAACTTGCTGTGTGACTCTCGGCAGTAGATTTTTAACCTCTTTCTTTCTGAGCCTTAGTTTCCTCATTTATGAAATCAGAGAGGACTTTGGGATATCTAAGGATCCTTCCAACTAACGATGAAATGTGCATCTAGCAGGTTTGAGTGGCTTACGAAGTGACTTATGTCCAAGAGATGTTGGCATTTGCTGGGGGGTCCGTTAAAGAGCTGTGATGACGCGGAGGTTTACGACTGTCTTTGGCTTGTATAGCTGATGACAGCTATCCTGTCCAGTTGAAAATTAGCACTTGAAATACGCATTGAAACGCAGTTTTTGCTCTAGACACAAATCTCAACAACTGCACAATTTGTTCAATTGCTCCACACCATCTATGATTTAATTTTTTCAAAAATTTTTTTTCTTTGCCACGGCTGATACGGGGTTCTGAACCCTTGACCTTGGTGTTACAAGACCGCACTCTAACTGACCGAGCTAATGTATGTTTTTTTTTTGTCTTTTTCCGTGTCTGGCAACGGATCGCAACCCTCAGTGTCGCCCCCG